TACACATTGGTTGCATGCTTTGCAATTAGAAATATTAAAAATAATGAATGGCTGATCAAGAAAAGCTTTTGCCTTCAACTAAATAGTTGAGATGGTGTCGGCAAACTCATGGAAATTTAGTTTCTATCGCATCTCTTGATTCCATGAACAAATATCACCAACATACTATTAGCTTAAATCAGATAAAATGCTGTTGGGCTGAAAAAAATTATGCATTGTACAATGTGTTTCCACCCCTCCCACACCAAAAAAAAAAAGTTTAAAGAATTTTTTCTGTCTCTTATTTAAATATAACCAACTTACTTTGGAATACCCATTTGAATATGCACCGACCATTATCTCTGCTCCATGTTTCACCTTCAGCTCAATGCTTAGCTGTTTCTGCAAAGCAGTCAGCTTCACATTATCTGCCTGGGAGCTGGTGTCATCTTTAAGAGCAGCTGAGATCTCTGGACATCACGGAAATTAGTAACAAGAAAATAAAATACAGAATTTAGAAATGTCGGCAGACAGTTTCACTTAATAAATAAAAAAGGCAATAACAGTAACATCTGTAAGTAAAGATATTGTAATCTACACAAAACCTGAGAGCAGCAGAAAATCAACAAAAACAACAAAAATCACTGCAGCTAAACGTCCCTGTGCTTGATGACATCATAACGGGACAGTATGAACAGTATTCTCTTTGAGGTGTCACGTCATAAACTCATCCACTAACTATTCCAGCTTCTACATATGTCAGTGAGATTGTCATTATTATAGCCAGTCACGACATAATTGGGGTCATTCTATAAGCCACATTGTAACTCTGTGTGTTTTCACAACGCCCCCCCCCATATAGGCTCTCATAGGGAATAATGCAATTACCAGGTTTGGGTGAGAGATTTCCCATCTAAACAGAGCTCGCTGGAGAAGCTGCAAATCTTTGTTTTATGTTTCTGTAAAACTAACAAGGCTAAGCTTTCCTCAGCCAGTATTTATTTTATTCTGCACGTTTTCACGCTGTATAATGTGGCTGATCTGATGCTCAGTAAGTGATCTTTTCTATAAGTCAGTCTACAATCTCATGCAGCACATCACGAGTGCAGTAACTGATCCAAAGTTACGATTTGCTGTTTGAAGTCTCTAAAACATCCACCTGATTATAAAATGAAAAAGAAAAAGAAAAACAGTACTGCTAACGTTCCTCTATATATCTGTAGGTTACATTTACATGTTGGATGCGTAACATAGTATTTATCCATGTTCTCCAGGAAATTATTGAAATATATTTACAATAAACAAGCACATACACACACTCATTACAAGGAAACACAAAGTCTTGGAATGTACCTTCTGCGTCTGGCACAACAATATGCGCATTGCGCTCCTGAAGTTTAATGTAAAGGTCATCCAGTTTTTTTTGTGATGTTTTGAGAAACTTGTTGACTTTTGCAAGATGTTTTTTCTTGGTTGTAGCCTTTACCATGTTTCTGGCTCCTGCTGTAATTTTAAGTTCATTTCTAATTTCCTGTTTGATCTGCTCCCTAACTTTATCAATATCAGGTTGAGCTACATGTTTAGGGATGTCCTTTGATGACTCAGTATTAGCTGCCAATACGATACGTTTAGGAGAGTTCAGATCGATTGAGGAAAAACTACCATTTACAGCTGAGCCCTTGGCAATTTTAGGAGAGTTTGGAGTAATTGGACACTCTATAAATAATAATAAAAAAGACAGTAGTCAAATCACAATGTAGACAGACAATATTGTTCATTCACTGGTTTGAAATATCACACAATACAAGTAAGGCAACATGACAAATTATAGGATCTTTTTATACATACACTTTTATTCAGACACTTCATGTACCATAATATGTTATGTGCTCTCAAATGTTTTGGTGCCCAAAGTTTCCCTATCCCTGCTTTTGTCTTCTGATAATTATAACTACAACATAATATTATTCCCTGCCTTGTCCTATATCTTTTAAGCCCTTAAGGATGGAGGAAGTTATCCAAGTTCTGTTCAAAACAAAACCTTGAATTTGAGATACATATTGTTTAACCATAGCTTTACCTCTTTCATATTAAGTGCACCCACACGTATTACATACAATTTTGTTCAAGAGAAAGAGGGTTTTCATTTCACAAAAATAAACTATTTATGTATGAAACATAATTTAATATGAATAAAATAAAATAAAAAGTTTGAGAAATTAAAAAGTACTCTGTGGCACTTTACCTTTAAATGTCATAATACTGTTAACTTTTAGTGCAATAAAATGCACATATTTATGTTTAGCCATATACAGGTTTTATGGATTTTTGGAAAGTTACAGGGTTACATATAGTACTTCCCCCTTTGCAGTTTTTGCACCTTGAAATTTGTTGGTTTAGTTGCCTTTAAGGCAGTATGGCAGGCCAGGAATGAGAATTACCCCCATCATGGCAAACCATTTGCAAACGTAGACAACCCAGGGTTTTGCAAATGGGGTAAATCTAATCTTTTAGGAGCCACTTAGTCACAAACCCTGTCCAAACATTTGCATTTGTCACAGAAAAGCTGCATTTTCACTGATGATATCATCGTCATTAAATGATTCACTCTTTTAAAACATACGTATTTGTTTTCAGCCAAGTCTCACAAGTACAACATGTCCAGGTTTTACGGTGTTTTGGAAAGTTACAAGGTTAAATATAGGGCTTGTAAATTGAATTCACTGGACTTTCTGCCTGGGTTGTCAGGCAGGTCCCCCAATTTATAATCAATAAAATCACATTATTATGTAAAAATAATACGTAAATATATACTTTATATATATGTAATTTAATTTTACATAAATTTTGATAGCAATATATAAATATTGATATTGAAATGCACTTAAATTACATTTCTTGGGGGGAGCATTTGTTATGTTTACAAATGAGAGGCAACCACTGGTTCCATTGAGTTATAAACATCAATGGAGTACGCAGCTCAATAAACAGTTTCTTCATGACTATTAGTGAATGAAACTACTGCCAAGTGCTGAACTACATACACCTGCTGAGTTTATGGGATATGCTTAGCATTGTCATTAAAAAGAATGGGAACATTCCAGATCTTTTCTGGACTAAGACAGTAGAGCATTATGGGTGGGGGGATACAAGGAGTAAGGGGGTTAGAAGAGACTCACAAGATGGAAACGACGTCTGAATATATACAAATGGACTACCTTCCCCAAAATATTAACTCTGCAATCTAATGTCCCAGAAATGTCAACATTGTATATTTTGTACAAACTCTGCAGGAAGCAATCAAACCAGAGAAATCTGAATGTGTCCTTCCTGGTAAAAAATGAACAGAAACCTATTATTAAAGTTATAGAAGAAGGAATGTCTTGCTAGGAGAATTGTTACTAGGCTTCCCAAAGATAGATATAACAGCCACACACACAATGTTTTAACATACCCGAAGGGTCCTCTCCTTTCTGCTCAGTGTCATCACATTTTTTGCGTCTGGCGCCCTGAAATGGCAAAAACTATTAGAAACCCAAATAAATTCAAATAAAAATGCTCTAACTAACCAAAGTTTTTACAGTCCATCTCGTTGCTGCCACAGGGCCCAGCAATAAGCTACTACAAACAACCTAAAGGTATGGGTTTACTTAAATCGCATTGAAGTTGTTATAGTGCCTGGAGTCCCTGGAACAGCCTTATATTTAAATTGTTTGTAAATAATTTAACACTAAATATGTGCCATCAGTAACCGTTCTCTCCCTCTTCTCTTCTCTTCGGCTAATGCAGTAGTATTGGTACAGCCAGTAAGGAGACGGCAGAGATTGGCTGAGAGTAGCAGCTGACAATTCATTAATAGTAGTTAGAAGTAGTGGTTATGGTGTTTGGAGTGGCCCTTTAAAGGAAAACTCCAGAAAACTTAAAGCACCTCTGCTTGCTGTATGAAGCCTGTTACATTTGTGATCGTTTATAAAAGTGTTTCTTTTAAATACACCACAGGCGGCGCATATTGCGCTATGGTCAGTGTGATGTCATACCATGGACGGAGCATATTGGCGTGGTGGGGGGCGGGGGTCAGCAAAATGTTGTTTTGCCTAGAGTAGTAAAAAAACTTGCATTGACCTTGTATGTAACTAGTATGGGAAATGTTTTATATAGATTTCCAATCTATTGAGTAACTTGGCTTCATCCACTGAACACTGAATTCTAGTACATTGAAACCCAAATGGCAAAATTGAAGGTAAAATAGTTAAGCTGTCGTTACAGTCCAGTTGGAGAATTTTGAAATCATCAATTTTAATTGACTTTCGGGTTTAGTTTTCCATTTACCATTTCCTGTTTAGTATCTTGGGCTGCCACTGTCTTGTGGTATTTTAATGTATTGAATTTCCTCGATAATTAATATATGTCTAAACCTTAGTGTATGTAAACCACTTATTGAGTTCTAATTCTGATACATATACAACTAGTTGTATGAACAAGGACAAACAACTCCCAGAATTGGATGTGAGTGAAACGATGGGCTTGTAGCTGCAACATTATTGCAAATTGCTGTAACATGGGGATTTTAATATAGAAAAATTAGTTAAGCATTTAACTCCATTGAGATAAGAATACAATAATGATTTGCTTCTACCCCTCTAGTGATACATGTTATTAATTTAAATATGGACCCACCCACAAACTTGGAGTTAACATGTTACAAACCCCAGTTAATGGTTTGGTTAATTGGAACCTTAAAGAAAACAAGTCATTTACTTACCTTTCGAAAGGGCAAACGCCGAATCCACGAGAAAACATTTTTATTTGCCATCTCTAGCAATTTGCTCACCACAAAAGCTAAGCAGTGTCTACTGTCCAAGCCGTGTCCAGTGACAGCTGCAAACTGTGAGCATAAAGGGTGATGTTACATGATGTCACAATGATGTCACAGTGAGCAGTCACAATGGGTCACATGTCCCCACCAGCTTGACACACAAACAAATATAATACACATATAAATACCCAAAAGTATACAAAAATGTATAACAAAAAGGAGAAACTCTATAAATTAAAACACACACACCCAAATGTATATAAAAAAGAAAATAATAACATATTAAATTATATATAACAATAGGTGTGGAATACAAGCTGGTAATAAATAATAAAAATTGAAAAAATAAAAATATTCACAAAATAGTGTAATACAGCTACAAATACAGCTACAAATAATCAAGAAAGGGGGCGGGGGAAGGTAGAACACTCACAAGATGGTATTCAATTATTGTTATTGCCATTTATATAGCGCCAACAGATTCCGTAGCACTTTGCAATATTATAAGAGGGGGGATTTAACTATAAATAGGACAATTACAAGAAAACTTACTGAAACGATAGGTTGAAGAGGACCCTGCTCAAAGGAGCTTACAGTCTATAACTTACAGTCTATAAGGCACATAACTCTCCACATACTCCTATATAAATCCTCGGTTTCCATCGGGGAGAGAAACATTCTCTTGGTGGGCAGCTCACAATAAAGAGACTGTTGGTAATCTAACGATAACAATGCTCTTACTTTTGCCTCACTTCAAGAAGCTGAGAATATCCCATATTCAGATTTTTTTTCATTATTGAACATATGTGTGCCACAGGTCTACGATACGAAGGCCAAATATCTATTATTTACCCAGCACTGTTACCAGCAGAGTACAAATCATAATGTAGTATTCAACAGGTTAATAAGAACTGAAGAGGAGGCAATTTTATGCAACATTTGGGCTGTACAGAGATGAGGTGGATGTTTGAATTGAATACACACATTCCCAAAGGATTAAATAATGATTTTGAAATTTGTCATTTTGAAAATTAGATCGACCCCCTTTTTTTTAGATTTAAAATTCTTAATTTTAAATTTATAATATCCACCTCATCTTATTCCTATTTTTAGTATCATTTTTATTTTCACTGTTCTATGAATATTGGCTACTGTGGCACCCTGCTATATGTTATGCCCCTTGGTGTGTTAAACTCACTATATACACATTTTTTTATGACACCCATTTGGTTTAATGGGGTGATATATGTTTATTTTTTAATGTTTAATATCACTTTTTCTTTCTGCAATGTATAGAATATATAATAAGATCAATACTATGAACATTCTAAAAACCCATGTTTTATTGTTTTCTTCCTTATCAAATGAATAGGTCTTAATTTACTATTTAACTGTATGATTATTATTTATGAAATGTGGTGTCTGAATCAGACTAAAGTTGTCATCTGTATGAACATCTGTTATTCAATTTAAGATACTTGTTCTTAATAGATCATTTGTTCTACTAAAATATAGATTTCACTGTGTTTAGTAAATATATGATAACATAATGCAAGCAGTGTCACTTTAAATCATGGGACTTTTAAAAGCTTGGGAGAGATTGCATTATGCAAATCCAAGCTTTAAGATCTCACCAATAAGAGATTGGACATCTGCCCATTTATTAGCCCTTATGGGTAAGGACTGAAATAGCTTCAAACGTATTGACGAAGCTGTCTGTGCACGGCGAAACGCATAGACGTGACAATTACGCATCCAGGTGAGCGGAGCTGAGCTTCACCGGGAAAGACGAACGGCATCCACACAGGTATTATTACAACTCCACCAGATGGAAGACGCCGAGAGTCCAGATCCACATGGGTAGCCCCCATTGTATTGAGCGTGGTTGTGAGTAACGGGTACATGTACTGGCATACTCACCATTTAATCTTCTAAGTGGCAACCTGTTTGCATTTTGCTTTACAATATTTTAACTATATTTCAACTGTATTGCTTTTAACCTTTGGGTTTGAACAAATTGTTACTTTATCACTAGCTTATTAGCCATTCTATTGGATTTAAATACATTTTAATTATTGTAAGTGCAGTAAATATTCCATACAGATCGGCACTATTATTGCTATTTCTCAATTTTCTCTTACATGTACTATACAACACTGATTTTGTGATTGCCATCTATTGGGAGTATAAGTATTATATTTATTGTTATTTGATCTGTGCATGAAGTATGGAGTTTTCCACTTAAACATCACTCCACTTCTTGAAAATTGTTAATATGTTTTGACATGTGGTGAATGGTGTCCATCGAAGTGTGTAGCTGAATTATCATAGTTTTTCATTTGATTATTGTTTCTATAAAAGGTAGACACGAGGTTCCTTTTTTCCCCATTTAACACGTAGGACATCACTCCAATGTACATCTCTGAAGATAAGGAATGCATCACTCACGCTCTGCTGCTCGAGGATACATTCTGTCTACAAAATGCTCAACTGTGTCATAACACTGCTTGTTCTTGAGGTTCCCTCCACTTCTGACAAGCCTTCATAGTGCAGTGGAAGTGTTCAGCAAATCTTTCGATATCTCTCTATTATATAGAGATATGCTGGAGTGAAAAATGTGGCCAATTAATTTTGAAGTTTCAGTTCATCTGAAATTCTGAAAAAATGCTTTTGAATGGATATCAAATCAGGGCGCTTTTGAACAGATAAGCTTCATAATTTTGAACCCTTAAAATTGGCATTCCCACAAAAGGGTGACAAACTAGGGAGCTATCTACTAAACACAGAAAAAAGGGGCTGAACTGAGTGATACAAACCCACACATGTAAACCTAGTGGGGAGTTTAATATAATTGACTTGCCCTTAAACAATAGGGGGAACAATACAGATCTTAACAGAGTATACTAAAGGAAAGAAAGATATGTACAATAGCGTAAAGTCCAAGAACAGGCTGAATTGTGATAGGTAATTGATACACTCACACTCATGGAGCAGAGCCTGACAAGGATAGGCTCAAACCACACCAGTGTTGGTAAAGTATGGCTATACCACAGCCTCCTCTGTATTCCCCTAATGTTTAAGGGTAATTCAATTATATTTAGCGCTCCACTAGGTTTACGTGAGTGGGTTTGGATCACTCGGTTCACCCCATTTTTTCTGCATGTAAGTGTTTGAAGAGTGAGGATACTAGCACATGCGTTGTAGCTGCCATATATTAGATTTCTTTACTGGTTACATTAAGCTCCTTGATTTGCACAAAGCACTTGGTATCTACTAAACACAGCTGAAAGATCAAAATTCATAAATTGACTTTTCTTAAATCTGATCGTTCTCCTATTTAGTATACAATTCCCTAATTTGTTATCCTTATGTGGGACTGCCATATTGCATGGTATGTGATTAGGGAGCAGTTTAGTAGATAGCTTGCTAATTTGGAACTCTGTGGAATTGCTATGTGTTCTGGTTGTTGTCTTTTCCAAATTAAGTGATACACTGGGCAGAGCCCTTCAAAAAGCACCAATGCACCCTGATAGAGAGAACACATACTATTTTATTTCTACCTCTGCAGAAGATATCCTCTCCTAAAAGTATTCTGCCAATGCCCCTTTTCTAGATTTCAAAATGGAGTATGCAACACCCTTTTCATGATTATCTCCTTTTACCATTCCCCCCATATAGATTGGCACACTTTTTAATAGAAACATTTTTTATTTGAGAAATGTACAACTGAGAAGCATAACTGGAAGCAAGTTGCATTTTAGTTACAGAGCTTTGAGACCTAGAATTTAATTGGGAATTTAATAAAATATGTTGTCGCCAAGCATGCCCTATGAAATGTGACATCTTCAATTAGAAGAAAAAAAAAAACAATTACAAAAAATAAGCTGGATCATTGAAAGCATCCTAGTAAAATCTCAAAGGATTAGATGTATAGTAATAAATGCAGCCAAAACCCTATGGCAATAAGAGGGCTAAATATATTCACAGATACATATTCATATCCTGAGTAAAATCCGAGATAACGTCCATTATTTTACATTCAAAATCCAGGAAAGTAGAGCTTCTTCAGAGATGTCTGTAGCATCCAGAGATGAATGGTACCAAGACCATCAGGCAGCTGTAGTTTGGTAAAACACAGGGATGGCCAGACTTGCAAAGCAGCACTGGGGTTGTAATTCTACAACGGGGGGGAAGAGTTAATTTTTGTCACGCCAGGTATAGTGTATATACCCTGCATATGTGTATTATCTGGCTAGAGAACTTACAATGTAATCATTTGGATGCTGCATGCATACTTTAAAGAGACACTCCAGTCACTAAAACACGAAGTCTGCCTTTTTTTGTTCTTTTACAAAACGTAAAGATTTCAACAGAAATTGGCACTTTTATAAGTGAATCTTGTTACACCCGCCCTGCATCTGCCTTGCAAAGATCCCTCATTGAGCTGAACTGGGAACTCTGATTGGACAGCCACAGAAATTCTGGGCGTATCTAGAAGGGGAGGGATTGGAAAGGCTGCAGGCAATAAATTTTTGCAAGCTGTTATTACGTATACCCCAATGAAAAAAAAATAAATCATAATTAAATGCATACATGCTTTCATTGGTGGAATAACTACTAAACAGTGATTTAAAAAAAAAATATTTGGGCATTGGAGTGTCCCTTGTTACAGCTTTACACTGTTCGCCAACAGTGCATACACAGTTTGGCTATTTGCACAAGCGTTTTCTGAAAGGAATTCTACACAATGTAAAGTGCAATACACAAATTTAAGGAAAGTATTAGTAAACAAAATAGGGTAAAAACAACCAAACAGCTTCCAAAGTAAAAATGCTAAAACAAAGGGGAAAAAATTGTGTGAAAGCCCCGGGAGGCCATGTAATTTTAGTATTTTCTCGAGAAAAGTCAGAAAAATATTAAAATAACACAACCTTTCTGGACATTTGTAAATGAGGGATTATCGCATATTTCTAAAAAGGAGAAATATGTGTAGTTCTAGTCTGAAATTAATAAATAATAAAGAGCCACTAAACATTAAAAAAAACTTAATATTGTTCAAAGCAGATAAGATGCCCTTGGAATAATAAGAAATCAACTTGTACTTTAAAAGGAATTATACTACTTGGAGTAGCGCCTGCTCCCCCGAACCACCATATTTTAATGCATTATTGAGGAAATGCATACAAATCCTCCACCTAGTACAAATCACTTAATAGTTGTATGTCCAAAAAATATATATTTTTTAAAAATTTCCAAAACAGACCAGTAACAATCAATACTTCATTGGCCTCACACGAGGAGAGGCAATATATCTGCAGTGATCCATTGCAAATCTGCAGCAATTTGTAAATTAAAAGCACACAACTCTAAACTTGTACCATAACAGCTGTCAATCAAGCAGCCAGGAAATAAAAGTATTCGGCAAACTTAAAAAAAAGAGTAAAACTTCAACACAAGTCCAGGTTATATAGATATTCACATTTATTTGAGATACGAGGGTTAATTTTTTACTTGACCCGGTTTTAAAAAGAAACAATTCTAAACTCTGTTTAGTAACGGGCCTGGTTTAAAAAAATGTCAAGACTCCTTTTCCTTCATAGTAGGAGGAATTTTTTTTTTAATTTTTAAAAAAAACAATTTTTTAATTTTTTTTTAATTTTTAATTTTTTTTTTATTTTTTATTTTTTATTTTTTACACGTAGTCTGCTCCTGCTGGACGTATTTTATGGCATTGTCTAACCTGGAAACGGCTGTTTATACGTAATATATATACACACACACACACACACACACTTAAAGTCAAGTAACCAATTTAAACAAAATGCATTGAAAAATGGACCAATAAACTCAACCTTTTATAAAAGGAGGTTTTATTTAATAATAATTTCCCTCTCAAATTCCAAGGGCTTCTTAATAAAAAAAAATATATATATAGATTTTGCTCCTGCTCAAGAAGCAAACTTTCTGTTTTAAAGATTAGCTTCTCTTTAAAATAAGCCTTTTGCAGGCACAGAGTAGTCAGCCTGCCTCTGTTGATTAGTAGGTCAATCAGGGCCGGATTAACATAGGGGCTGATGGAGCTGCAGCTCCAGACCCAGGCCCAGGCCCATGGAATAGGCCCATTGTAAAAAAAAAATTAAAAAAAAATAATTGCTTTTTACTTTTTTTTTTTTTACAGACTACTCTTAGGTTTACCACCTGACTGGTATTTTAAGGCACAGCTGGTATTGGAGGCTGCCTGGCCGTGTATTTTTCTCCGTATAAACGGAGATTACTCTGCAATACCAGCACCGGCCAGTAGGGGTCACTGTGTAAGGAGAGAGGCAGGGATAGGAAGTTACAGCATCTCCCTGCCTCTCTCTACTCACTGATCCGCGGGGGAGCAGCTACACAACACAGAGAATCCAGACAACAGCTTCCAGCCTGCAGAGACAGACTACAGCTCAGGTATGTGAAGGATGGGGGGAAAGGCAGCAGGGAGACACTAGGGGACACTGAGACACTAGGGGACACTGGGAGATGTGGGGACACTGGGAGACATGGGGACACTGAGACACATGGGGACACAGACACATGGTGACGCTGTGAGACATAGGGAGACACATTGGGACACGGAGACACTAGGGACACAGTGTCCCCATGTCTCCCAGCCAGTGTTCCTAGTGTCTCAGTGTCCCCATGACTCCGGGTGTTCCCTGGTGTCCAAGTATCTGTGTCACCATGTCTCTGTATCCCCATGTCTCTCAGTGTCTCCATGTCTCCCAGTGTCCCCATGGCTCCCAGCCAGTGTCTCAGTGTCCCCATGTATTCCAGTGTCCCTATGTCTCCCAGCCAGTGTCCCTAGTGTCTCAGTGTCCCCATGTCTCCCAGTGTCTGTGTCCCCATGTCTCTGTGTCCTTAGTGTCTCCATGTCTCCCAGTGTCCCTATGTCTCTCAGTGTCCCTAGTGTCTTAGATTCCCCAAATGTCTATCACCATGGCTCCCAGTATCCCCTAGTCTCCCACTATCTGTGTCCCCATGTCTCTGTGTCCCCATGTCTCTCAATGTCCCCATGTCTCCCAGTGTCCCCATGACTCCCAGCCAGTGTCCCTATGTTTCCCAGCCATTGTCCCTAGTGTCTCAGTGTCCCATGTCTCCCAGAGTCTGTGTCCCCATGTCTCTATGTCCTTAGTGTCCCCATGTCTCCCAGTGTCCCCAAATGTCTCAGTGTCCCCATGCCTCCCAGTGTCCCCATGTCTATGTCCACAAGTGCCCCATGTCTCCCAGTGTCCCCAAGTGTCTGTGTCCCCAAGTGTCTGTGTCCCCATGCCTCCCAGCCAGTGTCCCTAGTATCTATGTCCCCATGTCTCTTAGTGTCCCTATGTCTCTTAGTGTCCCCATGACTCCCAGCTAGTGTCTCAGAGTCCCCATGTCTCCCAATGTCCCTATGTCTCCCAGCCAGTGTCCCTAGTGTCTCAGTGTCCCCATGTCTCCCAGTGTCTGTGTCCCCATGTCTCTGTGTCCTTTGTGTCCCATGTCTTCCAGTCTCCCCAAGTGTCTGTGTCCCCATGCCTTCCAGCCAGTGTCCCTAGTGTCTGTGTCCTCCTGCCTCCTAGTGTCTGTGTCCCTAGTGTCTGTCTCCTCATTTCTCCCAGTGTCCCCAAATGTCTGTGTCCTTGTGTCTCCCAGTGTCCCCATGTCTGTATTCACAAGTGCCCCCACGTCTCCGAGTGCCCCCACGTCTCCCAGTGTCCCCGGATCTCTCAGTGTCCCCATGTCTCTCAGTGTCCCCTAGTATCCTAGTGACACAGGACACACTGAGACATGGGGACACTGGGAGAAATGGGGACACAGACACTGGGAGACTAGGGGACTGGGCGACATGGGGACATTGACACTGTGATACATAGGGACACTGATGCCAGGCTGGCCTTCCAATTCTTTGGACAGACATGCCCCCTTTTTGGGCATGTTCGCCCCTTTTGGCAGTTCTGGTCACGTGATTTGCGTCAGTGGCACACCCTTTTACCCCGCCCATGGACACTGCTGTTATGGGGTATGGATTTACTTGAAAGATGAAAGCATTAATTAGATAAAGAGATTAGCATAGAGTATGAGTTTTCTTATAGCTGCATCCTTTGAGTTTCCCTCCAACACCAACTCCATCAGAGACATGACTCTTTAGAGGTATGACTGTTTTAGTGTTTTTGGTCGATAAAATTCTGTAATTAGGCCCCATCATAATTGTCAGAACCAGGCCCACTAGGCCTGCTGACAGCATCTTATAACTGCAGTGATTTGTGTATATCGTTAAAGATATATAACAGACCTTCTTGTACATGCACACAAGTAAGAATGATATTCTTATTTTACTTCTTTTTATTGATTTTCAGTAACAACATAGATATTACATAGAAGTATGATTGATGTTCCAAAGAAAATGATCAAATACATTTAAAAGAAATTGCATACAAATCATATAAAAATCAATAAATACATAAATATTACACCAAAACACATACACCACTGTGAATTTACTGCTATTCCATATATTACAACGCCCCAAGGCCCACCTAGGATTGATAATGCTTTCACTTTATTTATCCACAAGTCCCACAGTGAGGAATGCTTAGAATGATGGCTTTGAGCGCTACACAACAATTTTTCCATTTTCAGCTGAAACATCACATTTTATAAAGAGGCCACCTGAAGGAATGATAAAGGATTTCCAATTGCGAGCAATAATATTTTAATGGTCACCATGTAAAGAATAAAAATATGAAATCTTTGTTTTAAAACTGAAAGGTATTTAAATTAAGCAAATTGATAACTGTGGCCTTGCATATCTGTTTCTCTATTAACTTCTCCAAGCATCAAAAGGCCTCGCTCCACAGTGTTTTAATCATATTGCATTCCTACCAGATATGGAGTAAAGAACATAGCTGACTGTTGCACCTACAACAAGTTGAAGAATGCAACACAGAGAGCTTTGCTAATATGGTGGGAACAAAATACCATCTATTCAGTATCCTAAATTGCTTTCCTGCCAAATTCGAACAATGTACAGTCTGAGACATTTTTGAGAAAGCTAAGCACCAATCATCTCTATTGATATATAACTTCAATTCTTTTTCCCATTTCTGGCATGCAGGGATACTATCTAAAGCAAGCATGTAAGACTTAAATGCTAACACGGACTAAATAAACAAGGTTTAAGTTTATGTGGGCCGCAAAAAAACAAAAACGTAAATTTTCATAGAAACGTAGCTTTATTTAGAAAAGTACAGTATAAAAAAAAGAATGTATATAGAAGTGTGTATATGAGAGGACTGCCTGTGCCCTTTGTGCACTGTGTTTGTGGCGAAGCTATGTTTTATGACTTTGTGTGTATGATGATTGTTTTCAGGGGTGACTGTAACAGGGTGAGTGTGACAGAACGAGGGAACACATGAGACAGGGTTGAGGGGTGTGTGTGGCAGAATGAAGGAGGGCAAGCGTGACATGGTTGGAGGATGGAGTGTTAAAGGGTGAGGGGAGGTAGTTTTATTCATATTCATTTTAGTGTTAGAGCTGTTACTATAGTCATCTATCTTTTACATAAAATGTTCCAGCGAGATGATTGGGCCAGTTAGAGTTAGAAGGATGTCATTCGCATACATATTCATTTTTAATTCTCTTTGCCCGGAGGGCAAATCCTTTATCAAAATATTATTCCTTAAGTTTATTGCTAATGGTTCTATTATGATGATGTATAGAATTGGGGCAGCATATAGCCCTGTCTGGTACCATTGTTCAGTCTAAACCCATCTGCACATAAGTTTGGCCCTACCATTCTTGCTGTTGGCTCTGTAAATAAGGACAAGTTTGTCCAATGTGTCCAGTCCCGAATTCCACATTTTAATTGTGCTTTACTCATATATTCCTATCTGACCATATCAAATGGTTTTTCTGCATCAGCTGCCAATGTCAAAAGGGGAGGTTTTTTTCCTAATAGCGCAATCTAAAATAGAGTTGACTCTATGAGTATTATCGCTGGATGTGTGACCCCGGAATGAAACCTGTCTGATCTCGGTGTATAATTGTATTTAAGGCTTCTTTAATTCTGTTAGCTAAAATCGCAGAGAACAGTTTAATGTATGTATTGATTGGTGATACTGGTCCACCTTCATGGAGTCTTTATCATGCTTGAGTATCCACAAAATTTCAGCTCTCAACATTTCTTGGAGGAAGGACCTTTGTTCCACAATATAATTGAAGGTATTTGCCAGATTACCACAAAGTTGGTGCACTTCTCGGTATTCGCCAATCGCCCTGACTCGGAGTCTGACGTCAGACACCCACCTATTTATTCCGATTCGTGGGACTATTATACTATTATAATTATAGACAATAACAAATATGCCAAAGTGCACATGTTGAATATCATAAAAAACCTATGGTTAATTACTGCCATATAAATTTTGTTTTGTAATTTCCCAGTATAGTCTGTAAGTGACACCATTTGGTGTCAAGGGGAGGGGGGGTGAATAAAAATAATTAGTGAGTTACTTAGTTAACTTAGAGTGAATGTATCAGTAAAACACTGACATTGTGTATCAAAGACATTATTACATTAAAGTGTATGTATCCTTTTTAGTCCAAACCTACTCTCAGAATCTCCAAGAGTGGTTCTACATTTTTTGCTCCATTGATCTTTCATTTCCCACAACAATATGTTATGATCTGACCATGCATTATCTAAAATTTTGATATTGCTTAAGTTCTCCATGGGAGTAAGATTGACCACACCATATCAATACACAAGTGAGATAAATGAGCTCCAGAGAAGTACAATCTAACTTGTTAGTTTGAATTGATCCCAATAGATTAAAAAAAATAATCGAATTTACACATAGTAATACATAGTAAGAGAATTAGAAAGCTTTGCAAGATATATCCGGTATATCTACTTGATTGTCCTTGGCCATGTTTTTTTTTAACTAATGTTTGAATTACAAAATCTTTTTCAGAGTGACAAGAGGAGATTTATGTGGTAGATATATGTTGACTAACGTATAATTTATTAAGTTAAGTTTACAAATTACAATCAAATACCAAGATCTGCTTTCTAATATATCTTTTTTAGCCGTACGGAACTAGCAAATACACTGCTCAAAAAAATAAAGGGAACACAAAAATAACACATCCTAGATCTGAATGAATTAAATATTCTTCTGAAATACTTTGTTCTTTACATAGTTGAATGTGCTGACAACAAAATCACACAAAAATAAAAAAATGGAAATCACATTTTTCAACCCATGGAGGTCTGGATTTGTGTGTGTGGCCTCCATGGGCCTGTATGACCTCCCTACAACGCCTGTGTATTCTACTGAAGAGGTGGCGGATGGTCTCCTGAGGGATCTCCTCCCAGACCTGGACTAAAGCATCTGCCAACTCGTGGACAGTCTGTGGTGCAACATGACGTTGGTGGATGGAGCGAGACATGATGTCCCAGATGTGTGCAGTTGGATTCAGGTCTGGGGAACGGGCAGGCCAGTCTATAGCATCAATGCCTTTGTCTTGCAGGAACTGCTGACACACTCCAGCCACATGAGGTCTAGCATTGTCTTGCATTAGGAGGAACCCAACCGCACCAGCATATGGTCTCACAAGGGGTCTGAGGATCTCATCTCGGTACCTAATGGCAGTCAGGCTACCCCTGGCGAGCACATGGAGGGCTCTGCGGCCCCCCAAAGAAATGCCACCCCACACCATTACTGACCCACTGCCAAACCGGTAATGCTGGAGGATGTTGCAGGCAGCAGAACGTTCTCCACAGCGTCTCCAGACTCTCACATCTGTCACATGTACTCAGTGCGAACCTGTTTTCATCTGTGAAGAGCACAGGGCGCCAGTGGCGAATTTGCCAATCTTGGTGTTCTCTGGCAAATGCCAAACTTCCTGCATGGTGTTGGGCTGTAAGCACAACCCCCACCTGTGGACGTCGGACCCTTATACCATTCTCATGGAGTCTGTTTCTGACCGTTTGAGCAGACACATGCACATTTGTGGCCTGCTGGAGGTCATTTTGCAGGGCTCTGGTAGTGCTCCTCCTGTTCCTCCTTGCACAAAGGTGGAGGTAGCTGTCCTGCTGCTGGGTTGTTGCCCTCCTACGGCCTCCTCCACGTCTCCTGATGTACTAGCCTGTCTCCTGGTAGCGCCTCCATGCTCTGGACACTACGCTGACAGACACAGCAAACCTTCTTGCCACAGCGCACATTGATGTGCCATCCTGGATGAGCTGCACTACCTGAGCCACTTGTGTGGGTTGTAGACTCCGTCTCATGCTATCACTAGAGAGAAAGCACCGCCAGCATTCAAAATTAACCAAAACATCAGCCAGGAATCATAGGAACGGAGAAGTGATCTATGGTCACCACCTGCAGAACCACTCCTTTATTGGGGGTGTCTTGCTAATTGCCTATAATTTCCACCCGTTGTTTTCCACTGTATAACAGAGTCTATTCACTCTACTATTTGAGTTTTTAAATACAAGTGATGAACCTTCTCTGACGTGTCAAATTTTTCCATTTTACCATTCCAAATAAACCTGAGGACTGCGAGAAAGCCCCATCTATATCTAACATCATGTTGTCATAAAACACTTAGTAGTGATCCAAAGCTTCTTCTAGAGCACCTGGTCTGATAGGATTGATCTTGAAATATAATCAAGTTTTTGAATTTACCATTTGATGGGGGATTTTCTCTTAAAGCAGTAAGATTTTTTTCTTTCGTATGATAGGTGTGAAATTTCACTATGACATCCCTTGGCCATGACTTACGGATATTTTGAAGTCTAGACAGACTATGAAAGTGGTCCAGAAGAAAATCGTGTTCTCTTCCATCCAGAATTAGGTGCCTAAATTCAATCAGAAAAAAAAAAATTAGATTGGAATTTAAAATCTTTTCAGGTATATTACAAATCCAGATATCAACTCTTCTGGACCAATCATTTAAATCAGAGCTCTCCAACCGGCGGCCCCCCAGATGTTGCTGAAATACAACTCCCATGATTCCCTGGCTATCTGTTTCATTGAAAGAATCATGGGAGTTGTAGTTCAGCAACATCTGGGGGGCCGCAGGTTGGACAGCCCTGATTTATATCTTTTAATTTGGATTCAAGTAGATTCATTTTAAGAGATAAATCAGTAGTGGTAGTTTTATGGAGCTGTATTGTATTTCCAAATTGGTTAGTTTTAATTCCAATATCAACAGTTTGTCAGTAATCTCTTATATATCTTTCTTTAAGTCCACTGAGCTTATCGCTATGTCTTGTCTTAAGTTTTTTAAATGATCATCCAAACATTTCATCAGAGTATCTTGTGTTAGAACTGGATTCTCTAGCTGTTCACCTAGATCTCTTGATTTATCCATTAGTGTGAATTATGTTGGCTTGTCTTTTCTTTGATTTTGTGCCCTATTGCATTTTGTTTTTTGCTCTTCAGACTTTCTTGTTGCCATACTTAGCAAAAACTGGTATGGTAAACGTCACGTTGCACCACAGACTGTCCAGGAGTTGGCAGATGCTTTAGTCCAGGTCTGGGAGGAGATCCCTCAGGAGACCATCTGCCACCTCTTCAGGAGAATACACAGGCGTTGTAGGGAGGTCAAGCTGGTACTGGTAAAGTATGATTCTTTCAATGAGAGCCAAGCTTCAGTTTTCAGTAGATATGGATAGAGAAGTAAGACTAAATCTAAAAACAAACAAAAAAAAACTAGCAACTCTAGAAGTATCTACAATCACACTCTGATAATTAAACATGAGGTCATCTGAAGCTGCAGCTCACAATTAGTTATCTTCAGAGATTTACCTTTTTGTCTTCACTTTTCTTGTTGTCAAACAGAAGCAAATCGTCAGTCAAATAAGTGTGAACCACTGAACCTTAGAGCACAAGACAGAAAGCTGTGTTATGAGTAGGGAACAGACTTCTGTGGAATAAATTGAAGATACTAAATACTTAATTATTTAGACATGCAGCTGCCTTTAGACTGTTAAACTTCAGTGGCTTTATTTATGAAATTATATTAAATCCTTCTCACTACAGATTTGCCTACAAAACAATCATTGTGAAATGTAACTGATGGTTAAATCATAGGTTTTGATTTCTAAAAGTATAACAGAAAACTGTATTGTTGTAATTAATTTCTATGGGTCTACTCCCGACCCATAAAAAAATTGATTACAAAGACATTCAAATGAGCTTACAGTGCCAGACCGCATTTTTCTGTTGAAACCTGCATACTGGTCCCTTCTCTGTTTTCTGTTTGACAGTCAATGTTCGCAAAAACAAGAGAAAATTGAGGGGATACTTCACTTCTATCTCCAAACTGCATTTAGTCTGTACATGTATACACAATAGTGTTGAAGCCACCTCGATCCTCGTATCTGCACAGGGGCATCCCCTTACAGCATCTCCATTTCTCGGGATATATTAGAATGGTCCGATTTGCCCTTTTTCCTCTCTTGTTGGAGAAAGTGCTTGGGACTCCACTATGTGCTGATCTTCGAGCACAGTAGTTGACACTGCCATTGATCTGCTTGTACCATTTTTTGCAGTAAACAGCTAAATCCCACTTCTTGATGTGTATGTATTCAAGTCATCAAGTCTTGCTGATACAGCAGTAATTAGAACCACCAAGTAAGAAGGATGTTTCTCTGCATCTCTAACAGAGTTTGGTGGCAGCCACTGATCATTGCACAGAGTCTGGTTCACAAAACCATGCTTTAGTTGGTGTAGGGAGGGGGTAGTTCTGCCATGTTCTTGTCAACTCCATAGTTTGTAGCAAGTTAATGTGTTCCTTCTTGAATGTCCATAGCTCACCACAGTTACCATTAGTAAAATTTAGATACTCACTGAATCAGGAATTGTTCGTAACTGACCAGGAAAATGCAACTATTAGGATAAGTGACCAACAAACTGCCACCCTAGAGTTAGAGAGTTACAGTTCTGCTATTTTGGCCCAATATTTTAATGTCATGGTTAATTCCTGACAATTTTCAGTTTATTTACTAACCCAGGAAGTAGCGATGTGTCCTTGGCACATGCTACATTGCGAGAAAGCATTACGGTTAAACCTGGATCACATGGGGTCAAGTAGCATCACATGATAAGTTCTAACAATGCCAAACACGTAGAGAGAGTATAGTGCCTAATACGCCTTCCCTTTTTCCTGCTCCATCAGAAAAGCCAGTTTGTATCTTCTTCCATTCCAGGGTTAACATCTGCTTGGAAAAGTGCTAGATGAGGCAGTAGAAAAAGAATGTCTGGGCCTGGGAGAAAAGACCAGTTAGCTACCTATCTCCCAGGAACAGAGAGCCAAACAAAAACCCCCACATATTATACATCCCAAAAAGTCCTGATCTGAGCGCCCAATTTTTCCAAATAGCGCTCAGATCCATGCAATGTAGGGGAAACACCACTGTGTTAAAGTTCTGACCGGCCGTACACGTGGTCCTATCCCCAAAAAAGTTCTGGGACATTTGGTGCTTTCACCAGTAAACTTTCGGGAGCTCCTGTGGCCGCAATATGGGGTGCTCCGTCTGGCTCTCAGGTAGCGTTTGTTCCCTTTAGTCTCAGGCACTTTCCCTCCAAAAAGTGCTCTCCTGGCAGGTGGCAAAGTGGTTCAAAACCCTGGACCAAGTAGTTCAGGAACCGCACGGTCACCTCATCCTGAAAACAGTTCCATAACATTCGCGGCTCGGTCCAGCTGAGGAGACCGGGGATCCACAAAGTCCTCATGCCGAAATTAGTTCCATAGCGGTCGCAGCTAAGTACCACCGAGGACCATTCATGGGTTTGGTTCATGCGAACGGCCGCCAAGGAGCTAGCGTTCTGTTCCATTCATGGGAAGGTAAAGTGCCGAACCAGGGACACCTAGCGAAAGCTGTTAGTGGTGGCTGTGCAGGGTAACTCCCAAACGATGTCTCAGACCTGGACCGTAGTTGGTGGGCAAGAGGCCAGCTTCCAAACTCCTCTAGGAGTCTGTGGCAAACTTTCATGGGA